CCATTCCACCTGGCAGACTGCAGAATTCACAGAACAGAGATGGGAAATCAGGGCTCTATTAGGGAATACTGCTGGCCTGAAATATTTAAGATCTTGAGAGGTGACAAAGAATCAGCTTAGGAAACCTGAAATTGTGTTCCATTTTGTAGAATATGCGCTATTCTCCTTTCTTTCCTTTTGCTAGCACAGTCAGCAGACTTCCATTCCACCTGGCAGACTGCAGAATTCACAGAACAGAGATGGGAAATCAGGGCTCTATTAGGGAATACTGCTGGCCTGAAATATTTAAGATCTTGAGAGGTGACAAAGAATCAGCTTAGGAAACCTGAAATTGTGTTCCATTTTGTAGAATATGCGCTATTCTCCTTTCTTTCCTTTTGCTAGCACAGTCAGCAGACTTCTTTTTCTAAGCAAAAATGAGGTATCTCAGATAAATGCTGACAGTATGAATGCTTAAAAGGGCATCTCTGTTCTGTAAGTTTACAATAGAAACTTTATCACGGAAATGCAGTGGATCAGGAGTGAAACATGAGAGCAGTTGCAAAGCAGGGTTATTTTTGGGCTATGTTGTTATTTTTCTTGTGAAAATATGACTTTCTGTGACTGAGGTTCCTATTACAAGAAAATAGAAATGTGGGAAAGAAAACAGGAGTGTAAGAAAAATGGATTTGTAGATATCCAGAGCATTCAACCTCTTAATATGCTGTTGTTGCATGTGATACTGTATGTTATCCAATGCCAGGGAATCGATAAATGAGAAGGGGTTGCGTGCTGGCATCACAGGATTCTGTATCTCATTCAGGACATCTTCCTTTTGTATTTTCAACTACATTCTAAGTGAATCTTTTAAAAGACTAATATTTCACTTGCATCGTTTCTGCACCTTTTATAGGTGGATACCATGAAACAGGGTAACGTTTCAGATAAAAACAAACTAAACTTACCAGAACCAAGTGACCTAGAATCTAGTGAGTGCTGTTAAGACACAACAGAAGTATGGCACAAAAGAAATCTTGCCTTTAGTTATTCTTTCTGCTTACTTCTGCATGCCTCATCAGTGTTTCAGGGCAAGGAAGCAGTGATATGCATGGGTGAGGTGGTACTTCCATTCAGCTTTATTTTTAATTGAGTCTCTAGATGAAAAGAAGTTCCCTTGTCATTCTGCACTAGACCATCACGACACTGACAGTTCCACTGATCATAGCTAGCATCTTTTAAGATGACCTTGAATAATAATAATAATAAAAACCCCCATTTATGTGTCCCTTCTTGTGGATATTTTGAATAGCAAGTTGGTCTTGAACAAGAACTACAGTTTGTGAGACTGCTGAAGTGATATTGTGTGTTATTCTGCTGAAATTTTATATCCTATTTTCACAATTTTAATTGACTTTTCTATGTGGTTTGTAGATATATATGCAAAAACTTTCATTTGTGTTTGTGTTTTAATTACAGGTGCTGTTCTTATGTGGGTCGAAGGGGAAATGGACCTCAGGCTATATCTATTGGCAAGAACTGTGATAAATTTGGCATAGTTGTCCATGAGTTGGGTCATGTGATAGGTTTTTGGCATGAACATACCCGACCAGACCGTGATGACCATGTTACCATCATTAGAGAAAACATCCAGCCTGGTGAGTTCTTCTGATAAGTATTTGGATATGGGGTGTGTGTAAAAAAGTGAAATCTTTATTTTTGGTTGTTTCCTTCATCTGCTCAACTCTATTAAAACTTAACACTGAATAGCA